TATACGGTACCGGTAACAAGCTCCACGTTCGTTATTAACCGTACGAGGCCATACCCAGGGACCGGAAAAAGTTCGGACTTCCTAAGCGAAAGAAAAAAATCTCAAGAGCGGTCGACCGTTCACTCTTCGAACGGATCTCTGGAAAAGGTTGAGTGAGATAGATGGTCACTGTTCACTGTTCACAGATAGAGAGGGCTGTGATCGTGTGAAGAGTAGAGTCACGAGTCGACGGCTCCGGGGTCTTTCTGAACGTCAAATTGTTTTTTCTATTTTCCAAATCCTAGAAGAATAGGATCAGTATCGTCAATATATATATTTTTAGATGTGAAATTAAAGACTTTCAAAATCCTGATTGAATCGAAATTGGATCGAGATTTAATCGAGATTTGGATACTATTCGAATCATGGATCAGGAAGTTGTTCAGATGAAGACTTTGAACCTCGTATAGACCTGAGAGAGATTGATGACGCCGATCTATGCATCTAGTTATTAATAGTGTAGCTCTTTTCGCGTTATTGATGTATGATTGATATGGGTTGGATGGGGAGGGACACTTTGCTTCCACCGACTTGTAATCGAGGGCCCGCAGGTGAAAACACGATCAGATCGTAGAATCCGCATCTACCACCCGCCTTCTAGCCTTTGAAACAATAATTGATTGCCAAATCCTCAGCGCCGCCGCCGGGGGGATTCCGATCACCTCATTATCAGGCACTCGAAACGGAAGTGACATAATTTCACGTGAGCACCATATCATAATTACGGAATCGGCCGGATGGGCCCCGCAAGCTTTATTGGCAAGGCGGTGGGGTGCGTGAGAGGGGCCTGATGGTGAGGTAGGGTTCCGGAGGTTTCCTCCGATTCGGTTTCGAAACTGCTTCTTTTTTTTTCCCCTTCCAAAAGTGCTATCTTCTGGAATGACGAGTCGATTATCCAACACAGTCCGCATTTCCAAACGTTTTGTAAATCGATTGATCGATTTGACGAATTCTTCCCGGAATCAACGCGGCCGTAATTGCTCTGCAATCTCTGCAATAGCGGGGCTTGAATGTGGAACTAAGTAGGCTGTACATTACTGTGTCTGTTCTCGAGCCTCTCGCTGCGGGCCTTTATTACCTCATCGAAATTCCTCGAGCGGAGGAGAAGAAGAAGAAGAGCGAGCACTAAGTACGGAGTACTCGCGCGCTGCACTTTGCTATCCGCCGGATTGGCATGTTCTGCATCCCATTCATCGAAGGCTTGAACGGCCCTAGGCTGCTGATTCCCCGGCGTCGATTCATCTGATCAAGACTCGAGCCCAGCTTGGGATAGCCTTGGTCGGTTGTTGAGAGGTTAGTGGGCGGTGGATCATCCATCTGGGAGTTCGGTAAGCTACCTCGTATAGTCGCAAAGTCATCGACGTAATAACGCTTGGATGTGTCGAGGTGGTGACGTTGGATACCGGCATGAGTGCACGTTTTGACGTGAAGGCGTAGGTAGTTGTAGTAGTGTTGGAAATGCGAGCGCTGGCTAATAGGGGACGGCGGTAACGGTCACTACAATTTGGTGCCTATCGGACGGCGTGTAGGAGGTGTAGGAGTAGGTAGGTAGGTAGGTTGTGTTAAACTTGAGAGGGCTGACTGGTGGTTGACAGCTGTAACGGTCGCTATAATTTGGTGCGTATCGGAGGGTAGGAGTAGGTAGGTGTGTTAAACCTGAGAGGGCTGGCTGATGGTTGACAGCTGTAACGCTCGCTATAATATTTGGTGCGTATGGGATTGGAGGCCAGCACCAGAGGGAGGGTTCCTCGCCGTCGCCGTCGCCGTCGCCGTCGCCTCTGCTATCGGTTGCTGTTGTCGGTCGTCGTCGACCATGCCCCCGGGACGTGAGCGAGATTGATTTGCATACCCAATTCTGCTGAGATGCACATGTCACACGTCTCGGCCCTGTTCTGTTCTCCTCGTCATCGCTCGTCCAGCGTCCAGCTGCCATTCGACCATTCAGCCACTCATCGGCAGTCGGTACGGTAATGTCTGTCTCGCGATCTCCACCCTCGGACCGCCAAGCTGGACAGGACCCACCTCGATTTTCAGTTGTACGTACGGTAGTTGTAGGTCGTGAGGTCGTGCGGTTGTGAGGTTGTGAGGTAGTCGTTAGTTGTAGTTGTAGTTGTAGTTGTAGTTAGTTGGTTGTCAGAGGGTTGGTAGCGAGTTGGTAGTTAGTTGGTAGTTAGTTGATAGTTAGTTGGTAGTTAGTTGGTAGTTAGTTGTTAGCTACCCAGTAGTACGTAGTAGTTGGTTGTTTGGTTCTTGGTGGTAACTTATCCTTGCCCATACCACACGGACCTCACCACCTCACCTCTTTTTTCCTCTTTTCGAAATTTCCCTCTTTTAACCCCCTCCATCCCCCCCCTCTCCCTCACAGGCTATAACCCAGCGCAGCGCAGTCTAGCCCAACCTATCCCAACCCATCCCAACCCATCCCAACCCTAACTCTTTCGATAAATTCACCGCTATCCCACTTGTGGAAGCCCCCTAGGCTCTAGTGGAGAAGTGGAAAGGGAAAAAAAAAAAGCATTAACAACTCAGTTGAATTCGCGCAGTTCGTGGCATCAGCAGTGCGCCATCGCCCACGCTAGTACTGCATCGGGGCAAGCGCGGCAGACGGTCATCCTAAAATTTCATTTCACACGGTCCTTGCACTTGTTTGCACTTAATCCTGTTGCGGCCTCGCTCGCTCTTCTTTTCCTTCGACGACCGACCGACCGACCGACCGACCGACCGACCGACCGACCGACCGACCTGACCTGTTGATCTCAGCACGCACGGCGCT